GATAGACCATTAGTATGTTTATACTAAAGACAATTATTCAAAGGTGTCTATCATTGCACGCTCAGCTGTTGTCTCACTTCTATGTTAAGGCACGGCTACCTTTCAAGATGGCGCAGGGAACCGTGAAAGAGACTATTGACAGGAAGTAGGTACAGGTATTCAGCTTTTTTTAGGAGAAATATAGTGGTTAGGTCAGGGTTACTAGGTTAGTTATAATCCTATCTTTGCTTTATGTATCTTCTTAATGTTCCAATCAGATAACACAGCAAACGTACCGCCATTATCGCTCTTCTTGATATGTTAAATTCGTTATTCTCTATGTGTAGTGTATTTACCTCCAATTCGATCAATAACACCAGGCGCAGCCGAGTTCATAGGTTCTCGGTCCTGAGCTACCAGTTCCTTTTTTACGGAATCGCCTTGAGAAGGCCCCTCGACGACGGTTTTAGTCTTGGTATTCCTACYMTCACTTTGATCTGTCTCCCTCGCAGCGTCTTTTGTCTTGTCTTTTTCACTTTCTTTTATCTTTCCCAGTTTATGCTTTATGTGTCCTGTTTTGATGTCTTTTTCCTTATTTGCAGTAGATGTCATATAGCTAGTGGTTGTTGTTCGTTTCTTTGATTGTTTGGACTTTCTCCTTGAGCTGCTGTTGCTGGAATGTTTCTTTCCAGATATGAATGATACAACAGTGGTAATTGGTCCTCTGGAAGCTATAAGGATATTGCAATGTATTTTGTATAGAATATGGATTATGATATCTCATTTAACATGTTATTCAAAAGAACATTTTATCTACTTGGTTTTAAAATACAGTATGAATCTTAAATAATGAATTTCTGGTCGATGCGTATTTTATAATTTATTTTTTCATATTTCAAAAGTTTAAACTGCAAGGTGAATTGAGCACACATCATTTCTTTTATACCCACTGTACTTTGGCACTTCGGTTGAATTATTTGTTAGTGGTCACTGAACCCGAGAAATTTTTGAATACCACAGCAAAGACAACAGCAACGATGAAGTGGTTTCTCTCAATTTCGTCATGTGTGAAATATTGCGTTTGAAAAGGAATTTAACAAAAACAATAGAAATAGAATCACCGACTACTACTATTTTAGTGGTATGTATGTCAGAAGCCTGTAAAATTAATTTTACACCGTCGGAGACTGGGTACGAGTCTCTTAAATTGTATGGTAGTGTACTGCGACGTACAGAAAACGAAAGGACATATTGGTGTTTCTCTAGATAAAACGCTAAAAGCTAGAATATCCAAAGAGATTTATAGGACACTGAACGCTGCGTCAATATTTTTTTCTAATTCCCTTACATTCCCTTGTAAAATCTGAAATTTTTGAACAGTTGTCAAGTTCAAATTTGAAGAACAATTATTTGCAATTTTGTTATTTACTGTTCTATCTTCCGTTCCATACAAGTCTTATCTCATCATCGTGCAAATTATAAAGGAACTTGAACCCATTCTCCCACGGAATGAAATTATGCAATTAATACCTTTATTAGATTTAGGTGCCGTCACACGCGTTTTCTTGAAATGGTTCTTGGAACTTTTGAAGGTAGGTTTTGAGTTTCTTGTTGTTCTTCGACTTTTACTATTTACAGGGTTATTTACATTTTGAACTACAAAACAACATAAAAAGAGAGAACAAAAATTAAGTTTGGCGATCTCTGTTACACCGTTGTGTCTTCAATTCAGTGTGAAATATGCTGAAATTTAGATAAACATCGTGAAATGTCAAACTATTTTCATGATGTAAAATCACATCAGTCAATAAATCGATCGATAAATCAAGTAAGGTAGCTGGTGGATGAGTCAGTCAATCAATCAATGAAGACCTACCTTTTTCAGTTTCTCTATTGTACAGGGCGTTTTCTGTTGTGTTTGTATCAAAAGTTTGWTTTTCAACCAGGCTTGCTGGATGAGATGCATTGTTTGCTAAAGCGGACTTGAGCCCGCGATCAACAATGCTGCCAATCTTTGGCTCGACTGTCTGCGTAGTCTTAGTGACCATGTCATCAACTATCGAGTGCATGACCTGCTTGGCTCCTATTGGTTAAATTAGTTAAAGACTCATCAATGATTGATAATTGTTAAAACAACTTCCATAAACTTATTGATGTAAAAACTAGTTACAATTTCCCTATTTCATTATAACGTCATAGTATGTTTACATCGGGAAAATATGTTGAAAAACAGTGGAAATTTGGACCAATTTTAATCTCCGAAGTTCGATCTTCAATGCCGTATCATGTTTTGATATATGTCGTGAAACAATGATTAGCCATTTACACTTTGATCCCATCTCGACCGTAATCCTTAGATTTAAAACAATAGAACTGTTTTGATGTGGTATCATAATGAAATAGGGCAATTTACTATAGGCTGCTGCCAATCAACTACAGTTCTTTGTCGGCCGCCGGTTTGTTTGAAGATTTTGACTGACGATAGTGTAATAAAGGGTAATCTCTTTTAAAAATCACTTATTTTTTCAACAATAACGCAGTTGGTGATTGGTTCCATGAGTTATTCATCGATCAAGCATTATGCTCGCAAGAAGAGAATTCTAGTTCTMCTTCCACCTCGATTACCTTTAGCCTTCCACACCCTCCATATTCTACGTAGTATTGATATCCATAAGTCACTCAGTTGCTCGAACGTTTTGAATGAAACTCCAAGACTCTCGGTTCCTGAGTGAAATCAATTACACGTTAACTTGACGCTTTTGCGCATGCGCTAAATTCTCGAGCATGCGCAGACAGGAGAAACCGAAGAGCTTGAGTTATGGAGTTTCATATACAAAACGCATTCACTCGTTTTCACTTATTGATTTAAATATAGYTGTGAAATGCTTACATAACTCGTCCGACTGCGCATGCGCGAAGATTATTTTCAAAATATCGTATGTGTACCTGTTCTTAGCTTGGAAGCCATTTCTTCGTCGGTTTTTGCTATGGAAAAGAACATGCTGTTAATCAAGTGAAATTAGTGAAAGAAACTCGATGGAAACTCGCAGGAAGCTTGATTAAGCTTTTTTGAGAAGACGCTGTTGGAATATTTATGCTAAGATTCAAGCCAAAGATAGAAAATGTCTACTAGATTCTTATGATATACACGCGAGTTTGATACGAATTTAGCTTCAATGGATATTTCAAAACATGTTTACTGATTTATTCCTATTACCTTCCTTTAGCCTCTTCATGACGTCAGCTACTTTTTCAACTGTTAAGAAAATGAGAAGCACTTATGGGCATTTATTATTTGAAAGACGAAGACGTACAATTTTTATATTTTTGCAGAATACGAATCCTGTCAGTTTGAATTTTAATGTCCATTACACATTTATCTGCGCCATTTTGAAAGTGATTCTAAACATATTTGGTCAAGGAGCTTTAGATATGCTCTAGATCAATTCTTCACAAGGTTTGTGCTGTTTGGGTAAATAAAGTACAAATCGCACTTACTGTGAGCGAATTCCATCCGGGGACTCTTGTTCTCAGTCTCACTCTCTTCTTCTGATGTCGATCTGCCTTCATCATCATCATTATCATCATCATTATCATCATCATCATCTTTATCTTTATAATCACTTTCACCCCGGTAAATAGTTGGTTGCCTGAATCCTTCGCCTTGATTGGTAGATGGAGGATGATTGTTTGTGGCTGGTCTTTCTCCAGTACCACGTGTCGCGACTGCAACAGTGGAATCTAATTGGGATTGGACTGGGCGAGAGTGCGATGGCAAACCGCTGACGTCTTCTGRCGTAGAATCTGTTGACGASTCATGTAGTTCTTCATTGGCAGATCCTGAGCTACCTGTTCATTAAATTAAAAACAAGTTTGGAAAGAGTTTGACACTAGTAAKTACATGRTAAATCGGTATCATACCAGCACTTCCTAAATGCTCTTGCACGACTTCCCTTTCRATTGCCCGTATTATATCCCTTGCTGTGTAACCATGGCGACGACCTATGKTCTCCCCCGTCGAACCTGCGTTGAATATACATTGAAAAGAGTGCGTTCAGTATGTCCTTGAAATACTTTGAAAGAAATTTTACACAATTGAGCTAATTAAACTGAAAATAAAAAGTACAAGACGAGGTTTTTTTTATATCATTTGCAATTGCTCTATTCAATTTGAAATTTCCCTGACATTGAGAATACAGACATCACTTGAACAGTTTGCAAAACGCTTTTGCATTTTTTTCTAGACGTCAATATTCGTCTTGACTTTTAATGACAACTCTTTGACAACTGCTGGTCATCACTTACCCGAATGCGCAGACGCGTTCTGCAACACAACCAATAGAATGAATGCATAAAGACGGTGCATTCCCTTACAAGGATCCCTGTGAATAAATCATATTATCATAAAAGTCAATGATATCTTCAAAGCGTAAATCAAGGAAAATTTGGGAAAGAGTCCAGCTACCCACACAAAATCCCTTACTCTTACGTAATTATTGATCACGCTTTGTAGGTTAAGAACTGCAATGATAGTTAGTACTAACTGTGGTACAGTCAAAGATGTAATATTTCTTGAAGAGTGTTTTTATTTTCCATCAAAGAAAAATGAAATAAAGACTAAGTAGAGCGCGTAATCTTTGGGACACTAATAATATTGGCGCGATTTGGCGCATATTATGATTCCTAGGGGGCTTTCCATTTAGGCAGAACAGGCCGGCCAGTCCACTCTATTTAGAGGTATATAATACTTTTTGTCAACATTTTTCAGTCATTTCAAGGTTTTCTGTAGAATATATAATGGATAGAATTTGAAAATTTGAATTTCCTAACTAAATGGAAATGATATATAATGACATTTTCTGTGGGTCTGGCCAGCCAGTTCTGACAAATGGAAAGCGCAGCTAATTTCAAAAGATGGTGGACTATTGACAATAAATGAACAAAAAGGAATTAAATTAGCTTGATGACCACAGATTCSTTTGATATAGCYTGAGTGCATTTTTCGAGCAAAGTAACTCAAATTCAGGAGCGCATGCATTTGGATGACAAAAAATTAAATTAAAAGCACCGCCTGTTATATGTATTCGAATATTCGATATGCTTAAAGGAAAAAGATTGTAGGAAAATGATCTGCATCACTATTTGAAGACACAAAGTCGAAAATAAAAACAAATCATATGATAAACACTGACATAACACAAGCACATCAAAGAAATTTTCAACAATAAAGAGATAAAAGAGCATTTCTTTGTCTTGAAACTACTTCAATTACAATCAAATAACAAGCAATTATAAAAAGAAAAGACCTTACTAAATAGAGAATTAAATAGTCTTTGAATTGATATGTTTATCTTGATTATTTGATCTATTTATCTTACTTGTTTTGAGTGAAAACAACTTCAATCCAACGTATGGCAGTGGTTAAGAGTCACTAGCTTGCCAGCTCTCTTCATAAGGTCATAATTACCCGTTGGCTAGTTGTGCCATCAGTTTKCCATGGCCATATAATTGATTTATCCTGCCATCAAGAGGTTATTGGGTTAGCTGGTCGGGTCAGGTAGATTGAACAACGTTTAGTCTAACAGAAACAAGCCTACAGTCAAGTGATCTCATGCTAACATTACATGCTTTGAGTACATGTTGTTTTCTTTGCCACGGCGTGATTAATTTACTGCTTTTCACTCAATTTGAACTCTTGGTGAAGGAAAAAAATGTATTGTTCCTGTGTTTTAGACTATCCAACGTTGTTTAACACGAGATTGATAGATTGAAATCAAAACTGGTTGAATTTAGCAGGTCACTAGAGGAGCGGCGGGTACCTTCGGCTGCAGCACTGTGTAGACATTGCAAGTCATTATTACCTTATATAAAGGCAAACAATTAGAGCTTGCTGTGTTAATTTAGTGCAACAGAGGCCGGCTCCTTTCATACACAGAAGGATACGCTTTATAAGTGATCAAACTAACATATATTATTTGAAGTTTAATATGCCCCAATATCCACACGTACACCGGGTCATCAACTTTAACGCCTCTGCTTAAATCGACCTTAAAAACTCGTGGATATAGAAGACTGTAGATTAGTTCTAAGCTTTTGCTTGAAAAAAAAAATCGTTTACATAATGACATAGAGCTGACAGTTGGTGAATAATCCAGGGAAGTAAGTTTCCTTATAATTAAAGCCTGGAGCAAAATACTGAGACTGACCATGATTCTTTTCGGTCATATGCATCGGATATTTACTGCTCAGAACCCCAAATGGTGTTTAATGCTCCATATTGTAGAAACGGTCTTTCCGAAATCATAAAATATTGTTAGTGTTTTGTAAATTTTGTTGATTATTATTTTTAATTAAAGGCGTAAACGTGTTGAAACAGGCTGCGCATTTAAATAATAAGCCACATTGATCACGTGATGTATTGACTCCGGTCTGGCTTCCACACTCGAATTGAAATTGCTACTGATATAATTTCAATCCAGCAAATATAGTTACTTTGAGCTTTGAAACAGGAAATTAAACGAAGATATATGTCTTGAAATCAAAGTATACCAATAGGTTGCTTACTAGTTTGGAGAAAATATCGTGGTAACATTTTAAAATATAGGAAATTAGTACTAAAAGATTGAAGTTACTAAAACACTTCTTACAATATAAAATCATAAAAAAGAGTAAAGAAAAAACTTTGAATAATATGTCCTGACTGTAGAATTGTACTTATCATTGGTCTTTTTAATACTGAAAGCTATATCTGTGAAGTGAAGCAAGTGTCAATAAAAGAAAATAACCCAAATAGGCTTTATTATACCACATCACTAGCCATTTATACGAAAAACCATTGGCCGAGAGTGAAAAAAAACATCGTCCGAGATCTCAGAGCCTGGCACTATAGAGCCGTGAAACACAGTTGGCATAACACTGTTAATCTATTGTTTTCTTTATAATACAAACTAAAACCATTTTCATTTTCATTTTCAAAATAATACACCATTCTAGTTTTTATAGTCCCTTGATTGTGTTTTTATAGGATATCTTTGTATCTGACTATGACAGCTAACCTACACTAATTGTTTTATAGGTTTAATGTCTTCGATGCATATATTTAGTCTGGTTTGTTTGTTTGTTGTATAGAAAAGAACAAATACAACAAATAAATATCTAAGAATGCTTGAATAGATAAGGTATAACATTGCTATTGATTTAAAAGACAAGTTCACTAAACAAACAGGTCTTGTATTCATGGTGCTTAGACAGAGCAACAGCCATATGACATGAACAATTCAACAGAGCAAGAAACTTGAAGGGCTGAATTTATTTTAATGCTTGGAGATACAAAACCCAAACGTCTTGAAATTACATTTGCAGGTTTTGTGGAAGCAAAATAAAGAAAAAATAAAATAGCATCATTTTTTCCCCGACATATAATAAGGATCATCCTCGCTTGATTACACTGATTAAAAGGAGTTGAATATAACCAGTAATTTACCTACCTTAATTAAAACAACTGACCATTTTGAAGCTTGTGGACTAATTACAAAACTTTCTCATTTTCAAGTATTTTCACGAGGTGTAAGCGAGGTCATTCTTCCTCTTCTTGTGGGCGAACACTTAATGGTGATCAGTGAACTGACCCTTACTACTCACGCATGCTCAGAGAGTATCATAGCATCCATGATGTCAGATATGAGGTATCTTTGAATTAAATATTAAAAAGTTGAATATTTGCTTAGATGAGATTGGTGTAGAGGTGTTTTAGTGGTGAATTTGGAAGCCACTTGATTAAGCAGCCGCTATGCGTGAGAACACTACAAGAACCGAAAAAAACTGCGCACGGCCCGTGAAATTGACACCAGAACTAGATTTCTCTCTGATTTGTAATGGTGAACTAGAAACTACTGACACGAGACATGCTTAACCATGAATCCATCTTTGTTTCGGGGTTATAACTATGACACCAGGTCTCGTCGCCTTTGAAATGCGCTTTAAGAAAGATCACACACCGCAAGATCAATACTACAATTTCAAACTCAAAGCGAATAACCTCTGTTTTATTTGACAGCAGATTTTCTTGAACAAAGTCAAAGACCTCACAAACACCAAAAAAGAACGTGAAAATGTTGCAAGTACACTAGCGCGAAATATATAAATTTTCCCCGAGTTGAGGCTACTTATAGTCCTGTATTCACAGAAGACTTAAACTTTAGGTCTTATGGAAATACAGGATTAGTCTCAACTCTGGGAAAATAAAAATTTTCAAGGCAATTGCAGTAAGGACATTTTCTCGTGCTCTCTTTTGTGTTTGGTCAGGTCTTTTCGCAAGAGAATCTGTTGTCAAGTTAATCAGAGGTTTTTCTCTTTGAATTAAAAAATGGAGTATTCGCTTTAAAGTATAAATACAACTCTAACGGAAAACTTGGCAAGGGTCGAATGCAAACTAGGGTCGATGCAGTTGTTTAGACTGATCCAGGAAGAGCGTTTTTGACGACACCAATGCTTTATGATTGTGATTACGTCGTACGTGTCCCAGACGAAGCTCCTGTGATCGCAAGAACGTAGGGACGGTGATCATAGTATACGATCGAAACTTACTTCGTCTTCAGGAAAACTGCTTTGCAAGAGTCTGATAAAGCTCGATTTAGTCTAAACTTTGATGATAAGCAGCCTTTTGATTATTGAAATTGTATCAGGAAAGCACAACTTTAATACAATCGCACATTGATCGTAAATGTCCAATCCAATGTAATAGCTTGTCAAACTTGCATATTGTCTTGTTTCATGGTAAACTAAAACACCATGCAATGTGTGCAGACGAACTTCACTACAAACTTTACCATTTTGTCAACATGCTCAAGAATTCTCGTACCGGCCGTCTAGAATGCAATGTCATGCGTAAATTTGTAACAATATCAAAAAAAGCCTATTGTAAAAAAAGAAAAAGAAAACAAAACAAAACAAAACAAAACATAAAATCACATAAAAAACATAAAGAAAATTAAAAACATCGTTAGCAATTAGCAAGAGAACGATTTCATTGTAAAGGGCACCTAAGCTGCTAAGGTCCTTTTTGGACTCGGCTCTAAATCTACCYTATGGTCACAGCTCATTGACACAGCTTATTGACAACACTCAAATATTTCTTAATGCTARAGAAAGTGTGTCTTTTAGATGTGATCATTTCTTCCAAACATTGTTGTAGGAACCGACCTTTAAGAGATAGTGATTGACTAAGTCACGATTCACTTCAAATCAGTTTACTGGAAATTGTATTGCAAAAACATTTGCAATATCCAATTCTAACCTTGTTGTCTCTTTATATAGAAGACCACGTGGCTAATTTGCATAACARTACRAAAACSATCATGGTGGCCACTGTGATAAAGGTCTGTTTTAGAAGAAAGCCAGGTTCACCGAGTTATAAGTTTTTCGTATTAGGCCTTACGGGTATCACTAGTATTTCAGACAAGGTTTGTTAGTCGAGTAATTATAGATACATGTTGCTGAGATACAAAGGAAATGACTATGACCAAGCACTATAACGTTCACTATTGGTATGTATTTCCTAGTGCTACGTGGTCACATATCATGTAATTATTGTAAGGGTAACGACTATTGATAGCATTATTCACMTTCATTAGAGGCAGTCAGTGTTAAATTAAGTGAAGATCTTCCATGATGATTTGTTTGGTTAGACATCCTTGCTTGTTTTAAAGTAGATGGGTGGATGTCAATTATATCCTTACAGCCGTGCACTCGATGTTGATTGCAATAGACTTTTTGAAATAATTAGATACATATAAGTTAAATTCAGATAAATCAGAAAACCACTTCCTGCTTCTTGATCGACATTGGAAAAAATCGCGCGCAATAAAGGTTGTAAATTTGATGTAAAGGATTTCCATTAAATTTACAGAATTTTGGACGCTTACATCATATTAACATCAAATTGACAACCTTTAAAGGGCACGATTTTTTCCAGTGCGACCTGCATACTCCGGCCACTTTCTTTCATTTTCAAATAAATCAGTTTCAATTTTTTAAAGGTACTGGATTATTTCCAATTAAAGCCACAATATTTTTTCGGAGTTATTCTGACATTATTAATTCACATTTTAATAAAATATTTTAGAAATCTTTCGGAAGAATGGCTGAGTACTAAAGAGCTATAAATTTAATTGTAAGTTCAAATAAATAACTTTGATTCAAATTTGCAGGTTAAAATTAACCGTAAAAATATAACTTTATCTTGCGTCTTGTTCATTACTATAATTATGGCTTTGTTAGATATTATATTATATTATATTATATTATATTATATTATATTATATTATATTATATTATATTATATTAGATATTATATTTTTTGTCGATAAATTCGACAAGAAAAAGATTGTAGCATTTCTAACAGGCGCCGGCTGGTAAAAACGATTTAATTTCAAAAACGGATAGAGCTCACGATATAAATGTTAAACGAGCTAGTTGTTGTTGTTTTTTAGTTTCTGTAATAATTCATTAACAGTCTGTACTGCAGTATTTCAGTTCCATATAAATTGAGTTCTATGCTGACATCCAGTGTTTTTGCTGGTCCAGTATTTCAATATCATTTATAAAATTATTACTAAAAGTATTGCTAGAAAGATTGTCTAATAAAGGCTCATTCGCTTTATCGCTGAATAAATCACTAGTCATTTCCACAGAGTCACTTGTTGCCCAACTCATTGATAAATTCGGGTCTCCTAAATATTTATCTTCTTGCAAACTAACTGGAATTTCTTCTCTCGAACAAAATCCCTCATCAACAGTTTCTACRTTATCCCATTCGAAACCAGAAAGCTCGTTTTTTTCGTTTGAGGTTGGGTTCCAGTGTTGTTGACCATCGCTTGTTGTTTGTTCTTGATTAGGAAATTCCTCTCGCTTTCCTAGTTTAATTTGTAAACAAATATCATTTGATTTTCTTAGGATAATCTTTGAGAAAGCTTCTTGAAATGACGGTAGAGGTTCCTTAGAATCAAAAGTATATGAAATAAATGTTATCTTTGCATCGCAATCGTCGTGAATTGTAGATATTTCATCAGAGCTGGCAGAATCGCTTGATTCCGAGGAGTCAGGAACAACACAATCATCAGGTTGAACTTCGCTTTCTTGTTGTTCAGTCTCTTGTAGTCTCTTCAAAGCCTCGGTAAACCCGAACGCGAAAACTTCTTGTTCCTTGGTCACCGTTTCAGGAGTCACACAAGGTTCTTGTTTAACGGTGTAGTGAATATCGGAAATTTCAGTGGCTGGTTTTGCAATGCTAGAGTTCCATTCTTTCCAAACCAAATTCTCGAGATCCGGGGAAGAAATTCCAATGTCGGGCGAAACTAGAAAATCCGCCAAATCACTAAATCCTAGTTCGTCTCTCTTAGCTCCGATATCGAGCATTTTATCTGTACATAGATTGAGCTTCAACGCCGTGGAATCCATTGATTTACGATTGGTTGTTGGCAAGATAGCTGGTTCATCGTAAAACATAGTTTCCATTGTCCTTCTCCGACTTACCAAGCAACTACTTGGACCTCAATAAACGCTCACTATTCTACTGTTTAAGCAGATTAAAGGGGTGTAATTCTGTCAATTAATTGAATGAAGCATCATATTTTCCCCACGTGTAGTTGTTTTACTGCGTGGCATTTCCAAAGTATTTTTTTGAGAGAGAAATTCTAGACTGGTATCTCATTGTCCTGTGTATTCTCTGTGACCGATACTATACGAGCTATGATTGGCTGTTACAACGGGTTAAACAGTGTTTCAATAATTAATACAATATTTTTTTTCTTTTTGACTTAAACACAAATCACAGCATCTTAACCAACACGTAGATTCCAGAATTTAGAATTTCTATGACATTAAAATCAAGTTTACGGAAGATCATTCCTGCCACCAGACGATAATAGCACTGATTACTTTGCTAAATCGTTTCACATTTCGACATTGTTTATACGCTTTGAGATTCTCTTTAAGTTGTTTTGTATAATTTAAGAGATAAAATGACTTTAAAATCAACAATAGACACAAAGCTTGACAAAAGTATTTTATATATTTAAAAGACGGTTAAATTTCTGAGAGAATGCAAATCTTGAATCGTTTGGCTTTGTAGATATGGCTTTTGTAATATTTATTTAACAGGGAAATCAATAGATTAACAACTCGACCGTACATTTTGTGACTTCGGAAATGGTACTATTTAAACTGAGATTGATTACACTTCGAAATCACCAAAAAGGACATAGAGAACGATTCTATTAAGCGATAATAGGCTAAACACAAGTGGCTAAATTATGAAATCAGAAAATTAACTTAATGAAGTCACGCCTTCAATTTATAAAAAAGCTGTTGAAACAAAGTTGTTTGTTGTTTGAAACTCGTCCTTTTACTCTCAATAATTCCCTACTAATTAGCAAATTAATATTAAAAAAAAACTAGTAATACCAAAAAAACTAGTTCGTTGAATGGCTAACAACATGAATGTAAAATAAATTATTGCAAACCAGGCATATAATGTACTGCTGTTCTATTAAATACCCCCACAAGCGTTAAGGTCCGTTTTACACTTGCGATTTTTGAGGCGCGATTCAAAGCAAACCAAATAAAGGGAACCCAGCAACTAAAATTATCATATTTACATCAAATTTACAACCTTTAAGACTAAAGCGCGCGATTTTTTTCCAGTGAAACAGTTAAAAAGTAGATTAAATGAATAAATAAAAATAAATAAACAACAGCAACACTTGCCTTGAATGCACGCACATCATATCATTGTCGGTGTGCTGGCGTCAAGATCTCTTTTTTTTTATTTTGCCTATTATTAAGCATTGGCCACAACTCGAACAGAAAACTAGCATCACCGTTGGACGACACTGTTGCGTTGAGATTTTTATAACTTGCATTCTCCGTTTTAACTTTTAGTTTGTCAATTAAACGCCTTCGTCTTTAATACTGAAAGAAGTCCAGTTTATGAGTTACAACCACAGGCTTACCAGACTATTGAGAGGCCTCTTATGGTGATTATCGGCCGAAAGCCGTTAAAATCTCAAAATTAGGTCATTTTCAACGTCGATATTTGGGTTATTATGGGGGTTTATAATCTAATTTTTTACTCACTATAAGAGGCCTAGGTCGGACTTCTCAATAGTCTGGTAAGCCTGTGTTACAACAAAACAGGGTAGATGGAATAATTGAGTTATGGAAACTATCATTGTTCATCAGTGCTTGAAGCGTATCCTATCGTGACAACGGACATACTTCATATTATTCAACTTGCAGTGAATGCTGATAAACATAACGAATGCAGCTGCAATAAGTCAATTCGTAAACTTTTGCGTAAAAATGAACGTTAATTATAAATCTCTGTTCATAAACTCAATAAATCTTAATGTCTTAATATGGTTTTTAATATGAAAATATGACTCACAGGTTGTCCTATCAMCCCATGAAACCAGAACAAAGCCAATTAGTTGTTATGCGTTTCACAACCACAAAGTAAGTGACGCAGTAGGGTTTTTCTAATTCACATAAAATATTAAAGCTTCATAAAAAGGTAAATAAATAAAATCACGACAGTTTGAAGCTAAAATATGTATATACATCACTTAATAAATTGCTAAATAAAATATCGACATAATAGGATGAGAAAGGACAAGGAAGACTGCAGAAGAAGAAAGGGAAGAAGAAGAAGAAGAAGAAGAACAAGAAGAAGAAGAAGAAGAAGAAGAAGACAGAAGAAGCCAGAAGAACAATAACATCAAAAAGTATGAGAAGAAGTAATATACAAGAAGAGTACTAGAAGAACAATGCAAAAAGAAGATAAAAGAAGGAGAAAGAAAAAGACGAGAAAGGATCACGCAAATATGGGTGGCAGTAAACCCGCATCTTTAAAGAGCGTTTAATTTCCAAAGAAGCGATCGCACACTTATTGTATATTTCGACTTCGATTCTCAATTCTTCTGAAACAAATCACTAACAGTGACATGGTATGCTCCTCTGGTGCGAAAACGAAACGTTTCTGAACGAAACCAATGCCATTTACAAAAACGAGTTCTTGACATCATTATATTTCGTCTCACTTTATTGCAATGATGGTTAATACTATTAATTAYTTACAGTAAATACAAAATCTTTTTTAGAATTAAAAAAGACTGAAAAATAAGCTCAACTAAAGCCTGGGTCWGACGGCATACTAAATATTAACTGTATTCAATAAGTTTCATAAAAAAGTACACAGTTTGAATGCTTTTGATCGAATGAACAATTCGGTTCGACTTTCAGTTATGAAGTGCGGGAAGCGGGATGTTCCACCAAGAACTTTTAAAAGTTTTTGTTCTGGCTGTAAATAGTTTTTTTTKATCACAGGCACCGTTATCAAGGAGTTGAAAGAACTCCACAATGCAGTTAAAGTTACTCTACCTGGTGGAGCATCGTCTCCTTTGCAAACTTTATTAGTATCGGTCATAAATTCCCTCTCCGCTAGGTCGAGAAGGAACTTAWGGCCGAAACTAATAATGTCTGCAAAGAAGGCTAGGTGGAGCAAATTTAACTCCTCTTTTAGAGTTATCAACTCCTTGGGAATAACTCTTGGGCCGCTCGTGACTCTCTTTCCGACTCCACTTCGGATTATAACTGATGCGGTCTCCCTTTAAATCACTGAAGTCAAATAACCGAATAAAATGCTAAAAAAGAGGTTTATTATTTTTTTTAAAGAAAACAAAGAAAAAGAGCTAAAATCGACACATGAAATATACTTACATTTTTAGAATTTAAAATTTGTAAACGATAAGATTACAATTCAATGGGAGTTTTTKGAAATTTTAAAACATGACTATACCATTGCACGTCATAATTTTTCTTTTGCATTTTCATTAGTTGCTTGTCAAGATGATATATTTACATTTCTTATACCGATGATCAATGTKAAAGTACAAGACGGTTTTTTCACCCTTTTTTCGTTGAAACTGCTGTAAATGGTGGGAGGAGCCGACGGGTTCCTAAGAGAAATAGAACGGATTTTGTATTACTGTGCAACGGCACGGATCACAACACGGACACGGCACGGCACGGTCACGGAACCTCGCCTTCTAAGATTCCAAATAAAAATAAAGATTTAACCATACATCAMCGCTWCGGCAYGGTACGGTCACAACGCAAAAGCACCGTGTTTTTTGCACAGTCATACGAAATCCGCTCTATATATATCTGTTCTTATGTCACGAGAAATTCAGGAAAAAAGAACTCTCCAGGCAAGGAATGCTTTCTAAGAATTTTTGCCAGGAAAATAAAAATGTCCTAACTAAAAAAATATAAGCGGTTTTTTGACCATTAAAACGTTACTCCTTGTCTTAATGATATATATGCCTTTTTTACCTTAAAGACGTTGCCAGGAACAAAAATATTTTATAGAAGGATGGTGCAATATTTTCTTGTGAGATTGTCAACWATGTAGYTCAAAATYACTTTTCCAGGTAAAATTCGTACAAGATTARTTATTTAGARGAACAGACCGCGTCGGYTCCTCCTGAAATGGTTGCATAGTAGCAGGATTGTATTATAGCTTATCATGACTCAATCATGGGGAGCTTTCTTTTAGTCTGAACTAACTGGCCAGATCAAAACAGAATCCATTATAATTTATAGACAGACTTATTTATAGTAAGCAAAAGCATAATCTGAAGTTGTTGCCGTAAATCTTAGTGTACTAATAGTCTAATGTACTAGCAAAGCTTTCATATGGAGCAAGAAGTTAGAATTGTTTGTATCTAATGAGAACGAATTCATTGATATACAATTRAATAAGTGGATGTCACTATTCTCAACCCTACTCTTGTCGCTCTGTCCTTCTAATGAAAACCCTAGGTTAATATTGCTGTAATTATATTTAAGTTTTGGACCTAAGTTAATCTATGACCTACATATAYACATTTTAATTCATTGATTCAGGTTAATATTGCCTTAATAACTTYAAGTTAGTGGACCTAAGTTTAATCTCTGACGTACCTATATACATTTTTTTGGCGAAAATAATTCAAACACATGCCCMCTTGACTTTTTCCCWCGGACCCTTCCCRAKCTACAGTTTTGTTAAATAAACAGAATAGTCTTGCKTCACAATAGGAAAATATACATCAATACAAAGTCTTTGCAGTTTCAAGYCCTGCAATCCCTTCCATRAAGGTTGGGAGTTCTATTGTGATTCCTAAAGTTCTTATAAAACCATGCAAAGCGAAGTGGAAACAGACTTTGATTCATTGTCCTCCTCTTTACTCGCTTCTCTATCATCTTTAATCTTCTTTCTAGAGAGGATTTTCACCGACCTGGTTTTCTTTGGCTTAATTTCAGTATTACTCTGCGCTTGCTCTTTGTCTCCCTCGCTGATATGCTYCTTATTGTCTTCAYTAGGTGAATTCTCTAAATTATTCCATTTTTCAGWCAATTTGTCCTGCTGTATAGAATGTGGGCAGTGKCCATAATACGATACTTCTTCGTTGTCAGGTGCATTGATGTGTTCGTCTGCGGGAAGATCTTCAGCGTTGATGGTCACAGTTGACTGGAACGAGTGATCACCAAAGAAGACATCTACCGAMGTCCCRGATGTTGTTGGATCCATCAAAGTCCCYCCGTGAGACATCAAACTTAGTGTGTCACTAATGCAATCTAAGTCAGGGATGGAGAGCTCGTCGGATCGCCCTAAAAGCCAAAATGTCTTCATTCCTCCTTTGCCCTATAGAAAATAWAGCATATTAATAGGGAWAGACACATGTATTTCATTGAAGATGGTCCGGCAATCAATAAATGCATGTTGCTGAAGTTAGATCGAAATATATCTGCTAAAAGTAATTCAAAATTTTCGTATTCTTGTATAGTCTCTTCTTATTTTGTCTATTGAACTTCTAAATTTACATCTTTCCTATCTTCTAGCGTCGAAATTAATTCTCTCATTTAAATCCTTCCTTCAACTTTGAAAAAATGGAATGGACAACTTGATGGATAAATTTATCCAATGGAGACCGATGGAGACCTTAATCTACGCTTAATAAATCAATCTTCCTTTTAACAAGACCTTTCTGTAGATTCCTTAATCTGTTTTTAGCTCACTGCAATAGCAACGTCTCAAATTACCTTAATGTCCATACTACCACGTTGCTTTAGTTTGTAATTCGCCTTTGACAAATGTTTTTCGGTCGTTTCGCTCACATGAATGGCTGATGGCTGAAAACAAACAAATTGATTTTTAACATGTTTTTACGTAAGATTTCCAGGGGGGAGTGTGGTGGGGTAGGCGGCTATTTAGGGGCGTAACTGGCTAATTTAGAAGGATGTGGTGCCAATACCAGGAAAATAAGTAAAACTAATAAAAAATTAAAATATCATATCAAAGAATTGACCCACAAAAGTTGTCCTTCGTTTAGCAGCCATATATGGTAATCTTACCTTATTTGGAAGTACGATAGAAATGGTTTTTGTCGATTTTCTCAACTTTTAAAGCTTGAAATCGTCTGAAACTTGCAGATATTATAGCGAAAACACTTCTCAACAATCGGCCATTTTGTTTGTTTCCATATATGGCATGGATTCGCTAAAGGAAGCCCAAAACTAAAAAGCACAGGGAACCCGCACGAATGACATACAATTCTTTGATATGAGTGGGATATGTGAAAGCTGTAGTTTATAAATGATGCCT